AGGCTGCGGCTGGAGGAGAGGTTTTTCTCCTCGAACTCGCAGCCGGAACGCGGGGGCGGCAGAAAACGCTGCCAGCTGCGCACGAAGCCACCCGTGCCCGTTCACATGGTTTCCTTGTGCCCATCCATTTCTGTCACTTCCGAACTGCACGCTCCTTCTCCTAATCATAACGGGGAGCATTTCGGCTTGGGCTGTTGTCATCCGTTCTCTCATTCATTTTCAGTAGATGCGCCCCCCACCCCATACATCCTCCTTGAACTGTTGCCATAATTCCTTGCGGTGCTTCTCGTCTAGCTTCTAACTCGCTCCTCTTCTGCCGCATTGGTTACGATCCGACCCAAGTCTATTTCGAGAATCTTTTAAAACTGCTCACACTGCACTTTAGGAGTCCAGTGCTTTCCATTTCCACTGTGCTGCTGCTTTGTTTGCTTCATCCTTTTGGCCTTGTAAATTTTCCACCTGTTTTTCTAATTTCATAATTTCCACTACATCCTTTAAAGACATCCCCTTTCAATGCCTTTATTGTGCCTATGAGAGAGCTGCTTCTTGCCACAGGTTCTGACTCCTTTGCTGTCTTCAGGTGGTGCTCCTTTTGTTGCAGTTCTTTAGTTAAAGCTTTGCATGTCAATAGAGCTTCTCAACCTCTTTTGTACCCAGACCCACTTGTAAACATTGACGGCTAGTCCCAACCCAGGGCCCCATACTCCCAACCTGGTACCCCCACCCCCAGGCCCCAGCCCCACATGTGTGGGGTGGCATGGGGTGGGGGCTCAAGCAACTCTCCAGAGGCTTGAACTCTCTCAGCCTGGAAAGGGAAAGCCACAGCTTCCCCCATTTTTCTCCTTTAAAGGAGAATCCATTTTTAAAGCTTGTTCGTGACCCTTTTATGTATTCTTCCAACCCACTTCTAGGTCATGATGACCCATGAGTTGAGAATGGCTGTTACAGAGTGACTCCTTTCTTAGTCCTTTTATTTGCCCAGGAATTACATCAGAAAAGACCATAGACTGCAAAACTGTATTGGTGCATCTGGTCCAAAGAACACATCCTTACTCCAAAACCCTGGCGTCATTTTACTTATCATCCACCCCTAGTTTTGACAATTCTTTTCTCACGAGCCTGCCCTATCAAGTTAATCCAAAAAGTGGGGCAAGCTCCTGAATTCCAACTTAATCTGAGCTCCCTTCCTTGCAAAACCAGTTTGACAAGTTTAAATGAATAAACATCCCAGACTGCCCCCCTTCCCCCTCAACAAATTTTGCAATCCTCAACAGCTGTCAGTCTAAGCAACTTTCAGTTTTTAAGCCCAATGTTCAACAAAATATCTATATGCTGTGCACAATGAAATCTCTCAGTCCAAGTGAATTCAGTAAACCCACTGTGCTCTTGTGCCTATAAACTAGGCCAGTACAGTGCGTGCATTTGCTCTTTGTGTTCCCTTTACATGATGTAGAAATACATCGGGGGGGAAAAGTATGGCTGTCTGTAAAGAACCATTTGTGGGTAGAAAGCCTGAAAAAGGCCTGGCCTGGCCTGGATTGGGCTTGGGGGCTTTGCCAGATTGCATTGCTGACATCTTGGCTGTGCTTGTCTAAATAAAATATTCCCCTTTGCTGCATACTTTTGCCCTGTGGGAACCTGGGAGACCTGGGGCAATTAATTCCTCTCCATTTGCAATGCATTTCATGCACATGGATCTCAAGAGCATGCCCCCAAAAGAGTCCTACCTGGCTGATGTAAGAAAGCTCCAGGGCAGCTGCAGCCAAGTCTGGGACCTTGAATGGGGTGTGCCAATGCTTCTACTGGGACCAGAACTGGAAATTCCTTAGTAGAGGTTCTTGTCCCACTGCTTAGGGTCAGGTCGAGCCATATTTAGGATGAGCAAGGAAGTTTACCCCAGGCTGATACAGACGGGGGGTGAGGTGCCAGGGGTGGGGGGTGCCTTTCTCTGTAGCAGGGGCATGGCCTACTACCCAGGATCTCTTGAGCATACATTGACATTTCATAGAAGCCGGACATTTGCTGCCATGGTTCCCCTGCTTTACCTCTGCCAGGTTAGGTTGCTAGGTCTGTGTTGTGTAAGGGTTGGGTGGTTTTCTTATGTAGAGTTTAGACCGGGGTGGGCAATTACTTCAGGCAGAGGACTGCTTACCAAGTTTTGGCAAGCTGCTGAGTGCTGCATTTCCCTCTCCGGTGCAGGGAAGTGGGAACAGCCCCATCTCCCAGGCCAGAAGCCTCTGCTAAGCAAGGGTTTCGGAGGGCAATGGCAGGGCTGGGCAGGCTTTACTGCTGGGTCCTGCCACCAGCTTCCTCTGGGTCCTACTGCCCCTGGCTCCTGTCATCTTTGGCAGGCAGCTAGGAACAAAAAAATATTTTCTAAATTTTTTAGGGGCCCCGTGGGCTGGATAGAATGGCCTGGCAGGCCGGATCCAGCCCCCCGGCCATATTTTGCCTAACCCTGGTTTAGATTATGGTTTGTATGAGCTGGTTTGGATGGGGATGAGCCAGCCTCAGGCCGGGGGTTGGACTAAATGACCTCTGGAGGTCTCTTCCAGCCCTACTTCTCTATGACTCTCATAAATCAACTGCACAACAACTTCAGATTGTGGTTGGAGCTTAGGATGCGAGGCATGAAAGGAGAGAGCAGGATGAGCTCTGCTACAGCCTTTCACCTAAAATGGGATGCAGTCGCTGATACAAGAAGCAGTTGGGGGGAAAAGGTGGGTTTTCAGCAATTTTCCATGACTTATAAAGCTTTTGAAGAAAAGCATAGAAAACACTTTGTTTCCATACTTTACAATACAAAAAAGTTCCCTTTAGTGTTCAAAGGACGTCTTGATTCAAAATCAGTAAATGTTTAGTAAAAAGGTAAACAAACTGTCAAACATGAACAACCATTTCCCAGGTGGTCAAAAGGAAACACTCCTACTGATCTAGATGTAAAGATTTTTTGGATTTTCATTTTGAGACGTTTCCAGGCTTTTAAGTGGTGTTTGGGATGGGAAGAATTTTCACAGAACCAGAACCTCATTTTGCACACAGCAAAAGTACATGAATGCATCAGGATCAAAAGATTCTGCTCTCTGTTTGGAAGAAGAGGAAAGGAAGAAAAATACATGGGGATGTGCTCCCCTATTGTCAGGCCTGACATACTACAGTCCAAGTCATGCTTGGTGACAAGCTACAATTTTACTGGCTTCAGGGATTTCCCAGATCTCTGAGCCAGTAGAGCTCAGGCAGGACAAGGGCCCTCCTTGACAAACAAGGACCTTCAGGGCTGAAAACAAGGCTCTTAAATACCTGGGTAAAGGGGGAGTCTTCTAAGGTATCTCAAATTGCACCATGAGCTTGATAAAGTCAAACCTGCCAGTGGGCTACTTGGGGCTGATAGGGTCATCTGATCTCAGAGCATTTAGGACCCTGTTATGGCATGATGGGAGTTGCGATGGAAATGAGGCACCAGGGCAATGCCAGGCGAGGAGGGGAAATAATCAGAGAGATTAGCAAACATTGGTGTGGGGACAGGAGGCTGTAGCACAGGGGTGGGCAAAATGCAGCCCGCCAGGCCATTCTATCTGGCCCACGGGGCCCCTAAAAAATGTAGAAAATTAATATTAATCTTCCCTGGGCTGCCTGTCATGCGGCCCTTGATGGCTTGCCAAAACTCAGTAAGCAGCCTTCTGCCCAAAATAACTGCCTGCCCCTGCTGTAGCAAGTCCTGAGAGCAGCTCTCTGATGTCTGAGGGGAAAACGCCTTTTCTCCTTCCCCCCTCACAACCAGTTGTGGTACTGGGATCTGCCTCAACAGTGTCAGGACAGAAAGACAAGGTTCTTTGGGTGAATCTGATATCTTTTATTAGACCAACTTAAACAGTTGGAAAAAAAAATGTTAGCAAGCTTTTGGGTTTAAAAACCCTTCATCAGGCTGAGGAAGTCTCTTCAGTTAGTGTGGGCTCTTCCTGGATGGAAGGAATAGTAAAGAAGTCAGAGGCTGGGCTGGGCTGCATGCAAGATGGGCAGTCAGTGAAGATGTCAATTGAGGAGTCAGTGGGTGAGAGACAGGCTGGGTGGCCGCGGGGAAGAGAGAGAAGAGAGATGAATGTAGCAGTTAAATAGTGGAGAGGTACCTGGGAAGTCAGATGTCAGGCAGGTTATAACGTGTCATAAATCCAATGTCTATATTTAGTCCATTATTTTTTGTATCTAGGAGGTTGATGAAATGGAGTTCATAGGCTCATCTCTGAGAAGTGTTTTCTAAGTTTCCTTTGAGGATTAGAACTGAGAGATTGGAGAGAGAGTGGTTTTCTTGTGAGAAGTGGGCACCCACAGGTAATTAGGTATTCTTGCCTTTGATGGATTTCCGGTGTGCGTTCATTCTGGTGTGCAGTTATTGTTTGGTCTCTCCTACATATTTTCCATCAGGGCATTTAGTGCATTGGATGAGATGTATTGCATTTCTGGAGGTGCAGCTGTAAGATGCCGGGATGCTGATGGCTCTGTTGTAGGGTGTAGTAGTTGTGGGGGACTTGGAGATACCTCTAAAACTAAATGAGCTACTTTTTCAGCACTTCTGTGCAAGCCAAGTATGGCCTGCCTAGTCTTGTATTTATCGGGGCCAGCTTCAGTTCATACTGTGAACAGGGCCTCTATGTGCACTAATCTATGGTTGTATTAATCCATACTGCACCAAGACCTACCCAGGGCTGCTGAGCCTCCCATCCCATAAGGACCTGAGAGGGGGACGGTGCAGCTGGGAGTGGGGCAGCATGGTGGCCAACCGCCACAACTGCCATTCTGGAAGGAGCAGTCTCAAGGGCAGGTGGTGGAGGACGACTCTCAACATGGGCAAATACAGAATCAGTGGGTGCGTCTAAACGTGCCCCTACGGCTCCATTGTTACTGCGCCATCATTTAGTTTTTCCTTTTAGAAGTACTAAATGATGGCGCAGTAGCAGCTCATACTGTGCCAAGCAGTTATTTTTAGCTGCTACATCGCTGTAGCAACACACTATAGTGGTTTGTGCCTGCCAACACTGTGTCACTGTAGACATGCTCACTGTGTACAAATGGAGACTGATTAGCTACGCTGCAGTACTGCGGCAAAGGACTCGGGGGTTACAGATGACCACAAGCTGAATATGAGACAACACTATGCTCTTGTTGCAAAAAAGGCCAACAGTGTATTGGGTTGTACTAACAGACGCATCACTTGCCAATCAAGGGAAGTGATTCTTCTGCTCTGTTCAGCATTGGTGAGGCCTCACCTGGAGTACTGTGCCCAATTTTGGGCCCCATGCTTCAAGAAGGATGTGGACACATTGG